AAGAAACAGTAAGAAATAGTATTTTTTGAGGAAAATTCTAAGTTCAAGGGGAGATAAATCTGAAAATATTGGTGCTAGAGTTAAGAACCTAGTCACATAAGATGGGGATGATAATGTACATACATTTGTAGTATGAGGTTGATCCCTTAAGAAATAAAGAAGTATCAGTAAAAAATAGTATTTTTTAAAGAAAATTCTTAGTTCAAGGGGAGATAAATATGAAAATATTGGTGCTAGAGTTATGAACCTTGTCACATAAGATATGGTTGATGATAAGGAACATATATTTGAAGTTTGAAGCTGATACCTTAAGAAATGACAAAGTTATAGTGAAAAATATTTTACTGCACCAAAACTTTAATCTAAAATCTGGACGCGGGCGCGGACGCCGACGCCGGGGCGAGTAGGACAGCTCTCCATATACTTCGTATAGTCGAGCTAAAAACCGCCGGACGGCCGGACGGACAAGCTGATTCCAGTATACCCCCCTTACAACTTTGTTGTGCTGGGGTATAATTACAACACAAAAAATATATATAAATATGTATAATTAAAATCCGGATTGTCTAGATTGATTTCTGTAGCATCAGGGCTGAGAGACAAATGAACATCAATCTCAATGTCTGAGAGCAATTGATAACAGATAAATTTAGCCTCTGATTGAACCCAGCCAAACCAGTTGATCAGCCTATGCCACCAGCATATAGCTAGGCAAGCCTATACTTCAAAACATTCTAACAAGGCTTTATATTGTTGTTTACTTAATTCTTTGCAATTTAATATTGAAATGATGAAATATTCTGACTTTCTAATTGACTGCTCCAAATAATTCAATGTCATTCAACAACGATGAATTCATTAACATTATCAAGCCAGTTATTTTGATTTAATGATTATTTGAAATTTTTATCTGATATAAAAAGAGATGACAAACAGTAGTTTTACTTTAATGTAACAAAAATACAATCTATGATATGACAGTTACAATTATTGCACACATAAGAAAGTTTTATAATGAAAGGAATACATAACACACTAAATCACATTGGAAACAAAGAATTTTTATCTGACATCAACATAGGAATAAGAAATACCCCCACCCATCGTGCCATCAAAAGAAACAGCAACAATTCCGCCACCCCCATAAAAACTAAACAAAAATAAAACAAAAACATTTTTTAAAATTTTCTTTCTTTCTACTTTTAGCTCTTCAATGAACCGAAAAGATTTTTAATAATTTTGCAAAGGGTTAGTAAAAAATCATCTGTTGTACTGAAAACAGCAAACACACAAATCTAAATTCATTAAACAAAATCCATAACACAAAAACAGCATGCACTGAGTAAAACAATTTATTTTAAAACTAATCTTCTAAACTATAAACTTGTTGTAAGAATCACTCACGCATAAGATCAGGAACAACTACTGTAACTTAACTAAACACTGTAGCAATCATTCTATATCCTTGACAACAGATAAAAAACGCAACTTTTATTCAGTTATTTCCCCTTCATTCTGCAGCACTGATCAGGGGAAGCAACTGCCATGAAAAGTGGTGCATGAAAAAAAACACACAAATAAGTTTAATCATGACCTAAGTCTTACAATAAAAGACTGCAAAATAAAATGGCATAAGAAAGAAACTTAACATAAAAAGACTACATAAAAACATGTAATATGTTCTAATGTTCACATTTCAAACAGTTAAATACAGTCATTGTACAAGATATAAATGTATAGATGCAATCTTTCAGTCAAAAAAAGTAATCTGTCCATTCCAACATTGTAAATCAAATATATATTCAATATTAACAGTGAATATTTTTCCATAAAAATTAAAGAAAAATGTAAACAAGAACAAACTTTAGCAATGTATTGCTTTTTAAAGAAATAGTCAAAATCAATCATGGCAAGTAAATATAAAAAATATATAAATAGTCATATAACATAATAAATTACTTGTAAAATAACCAGAATAAATTTCTAGCAATTAAATATATTCTTTCTTAAACAAGAGGTCCAGGATGGCCCTGGATTGCTCACCTGAGATACATTGCCTAAGAAATACTACATGCTAAATATAGAAGCTCAGAGAATTGTATTTTCACACAAGAATAACATGCTTTACTATCGAAACTAAGTGATGATGAGTTAAAATTGTAACATGATACTCTAGGTGTGTACAGCCCAATTATAATAATATACTCTGCTATGTTAACAACTGTCTGATATATATTATAGTTAAGAATAATAAACGTAGTTAAAGCACATAATAGAACAACTAATCACAATGGTAAAAGACAAAACCACAGAGTATTATTTTTGGACAATAAAAGATGACATTAGAAAAGATCGAGTTATATTTGGAGTGACATCCATAAAATAGATAGAATGGCTGATAATATGATATTTAATGTTACATTAATTTTGTAAAAGATGGAAGATGTAGTATGATGAGCTAAACTGTAACATGATATACTAGGCGTGTACAGCCCCTTTATAATACATTCTTCCCTGGATGTTAATATACTACATGTACAATCAAGGACACTGCTATGTTAACAACTGTCATATACTGGTATACTTGTATATTTTAGTTTAGAATAATAAACATAGTTAGAGCACATAATTTATGACATTCCTAAACCCATGGCATAACACCCAAGACAGAGCCTTTAACACCCCAGTGGCATAATTAATGTCAGTTTTGTGAACCACAAAGCAAAGCTACATGCCAAAACTCTAAGCTCTTGGAGGAGAAAACTTAAGTGTACTTCCTATATCAGTCTATATAAATAAAGATACCCATGGTGCTGGACCATTTTTTGCCACTAGGGACATGATTTACATAATTTTTGTAGATGATGCAACATGCCAAATATCTAAGCTCTGCACATTGTAGTTTCCAAGAAAATGCTTTTCTTAAGACATTTTACTATCCAAGTGTATGTAAAGTAAGTGATGTGGTTAAGAACAACATGTTGTTGAGGTTAACAACAGACAAATATTGACGGAGGATGGCAAATGTGTTGTCACAAAAACTCACCTTTGAGCACTAAGTGCTCAGGTGAGCTAAAAATAAACAATAACAAGAGCCACCGCCGGTCAGGGGCAACGCTCGACTTTTTACTTTCTCTAAAAGCAAACAAAGAAATGTTTGAACAAAATATTAACGTTTCCTTTTTATAAAATTAATCATTCTGTCTTGTCACATTAGTTTTTTCTATATATTTTATATATATAAATTTACTAATTTATATATATATATATAATTAGAGACACGCATTTGGAAGTCACGCTGTGGTGTCATGTGGTGGAGTCACATGGTGGAGTCATGTGGTGGAGTAACCTGGTGGAGTCACGTGGTGGTGAAGTCATGTGGTGTAGTCACGTGGAGTAGTCATATGTTGGTGTCACGTGGTGTAGTCACGTTGTGGAGACACGTGGTGGAGTCAAGTGGTGGAGTCACGTGGTGGAGATACATGGTGGTGTCACATGGTGGAGTCACATGGTGGAGATACGTGGTGGAGTCACGTGGTGGAGTCACGTGGCACCAAGTCACGTGGCACCAAGTCATGTAGTGGAGTCACATGGTGAAGTCACAATAAACAACAATGTCTTGTCTTAAAGTATGTTCTGTTATAATATGAAGTTGATCCCTTCAATAATAGTAATAGCCAAAAACATGAAAATTTCAATAATTTGACCTTCAATGTCAAGGTCATTTATAAGTGAAGGTCAAGGTCTGTCAGATTATTTCTAAGGGTTATCCTTGAAGATTATTATGTTCAAGTTTGAAGACAATCCATTCAAAAATAACAAAGTTACAGCCAATAACAGCATGAACAAGCAAAATTTGGACTTTTAACCTTGAAGGTCAAGGTCATTTATGGATGAAGGTCAAGGTTAGTGTGGTGTACTGAAAGGTCTTGTCCCAAGGATTGTTGTGGCCAAGTATGAAGACAATACACCAAGAAATAAACAAGAGCGATCAGTAATCACATGTGTTGCCTCATGATGACCAATTTCATGTTGGGACAAATTTTGTGACAGACGGACAGACAGACGGACAGTGCACAACTAGACTAACCACTTTGTACTGATCATTCCTGTAAAATTTGGATAAAATTGCACCAGTAGTTTATGAGGAGTAGTCCGGACAAGCTTTTGCATATCTGGCAACACACAGAAAAAAACACCTTTTTATCAAAGGGCCATAACTAGGCCAAAAACCATTCAACCGGAAAACCCGTGCAATATGCGCAAGGACTTGAGCTACAGATCAATCCTGTAAAGTTTCATTGAAATTGCATAAGTGGTATAAGAGAAGTAGTCTGGACAAACTTTAAAAATAAAAATTATTAAAGGGCCATAACTCAAACAAAAATCATTGAACCGGAAAATGAAGACAATATGCACAACTAGACTTGGTACTGATCATTCATGTAAAGTTTGGATGAAATTGCACCAGTAGTTTATGAGGAGTAGTCCGGACAAGCTTTTGTGTATCTGGCAACACACAGAAAAAGAAACCTTTTTATCAAAGGACCATAACTCGGCCAAAAATCATTCAACCGGAAAAACCGTGCAATATGCGCAAGGACTTGAGCTACAGATCAATCCTGTAAAGTTTCATTGAAATTGCATTAGTGGTATAAGAGAAGTAGTCTGGACAAACTTTAAAATTAAAAATTATTAAAGGGCCATAACTCTGACAAAAATCATTGAACTGGAAAATCCTGACAAAATGCACAACTAGACTTGGTACTGATCATTCCTGTAAAGTTTGGATGAAATTGCACAAGTAGTTTATGAGGAGTAGTCCGGACAAGTTTTGTGACGGACGGATGGACAGACAGACAGACGGACAGAAAGACAGACGACGGAGAAGTGATCCCTATATGTGGCCACTACTCCGTAGAGGTGACACAAAAAGTTATGATCCAGGTACAAGTTTGCGGACGGCAACGCCAACGCCGCCTCGACTTTAACAATACCTCTACTTTTTTTTCAGCAAACATAAACTTAACATATTGATAAAAATATAAGTCATTATCAATCACATTTTTGGTGATTTATTTGCGTATTTATCAGGTGATTTATCAGGTGATTTATTTGACGATTTATCATTTTTATCTTGCCCAGATTTTGGAGTTTTCTTTTTGGATGAGGCTGATTTCTCTTTATCCAGTCTTTCATGTTCTTCTTTAACCATTTGTCTTAGCTCTTCCTGTTTATGAACCGAAAAAATAACTTTGTAATAAAATTATCATAATGAAATTACAACAAAAAACATTTGAACAGAAAATTTGTTGTTGAACATATTGAATTAAATGAACATGTAAAATAAGAACATGTTAAATAATAAGAAAACATGTAAAATGATATATAAATATTACAAATAATAAAACTGAGAACTTTTTTGTTTGTTTGGTTTTAAGGCGCACCAATGCAATTTAGGTCATATGGTGCCGAAACAGGAAACATGGCTAACCCCTTGGGTTTCAAACTTAAAGCAACACCAGGGTGTCAAAACCATGTTACTGCTGGAGCTAAGAGATGCATAGACTCCAGATATTCAAACCCTTTCAGTCCCCTCTTACAATCACGCCAGGACAAACGTTGTCTTCAATTCTGATGCCTCTACTCTTAAAGACAAGCCCTCAGTCACAAGGGGAAAATCAAAGAAATGAAATGCCTCTACCCTTAAAGACAACGCCTCAGTCACAAGAGGAAAATTTGAGAAATATAATGCTGGTAACTATATAAATAAAGCAGCATAACTTACACCCCATCCTAGTAGATCAGCTAAAGCGTAGCACCCATCATCACATGTACCTTGCCAGAACACATCCCTATAATGTAATAAACAAAAGTAAGCACCGGTATAATCATTTCTTGTATCACAGATTGGAGAAAATGTGTCAGAGTTAAATCATATACCCTTAAATGCACAGTGCATTAAATGAGGTGCAGGTGGTATAAGTGACCTGCAATCTATTTACAACACTGTCTCTCAGGGATAAACATAGAGAATGCTTGTTTGGCTATATTTTTTTCTGGGGTCAACTCATTATGACAACAGGGAAAAAGATAATGACATAATGGGGGGGGGGGCATCATACATATCAGATAGCTTCATGTTTCAATGCTCTTTCTATTACTTGTATGAGAAAATGATATTACCCTGTTTTTCACATAACATGTTCTACCAACCCTGGTTCTATATAAGAATGTAATCATTACTCTATTGGCAAATTGATTTGTATTTATAATTTGTTTTTATAAGATTAATTCTCTTTCAAAAAAAAAATAAAATAAAAAATATTTTTTGTAAAGGAGTTGAAATTGCAAATAATGGCATTTTTTTCATAATGCCCAATCTTGCCAATATTGTGCACATGTATTACACTGCCAGATCTTGATGTCTATGATCCTGAGTTTATTGGGTTCAATATATTTGTTCTCATTTGTTAAATTGAATTCAGTACCAAATAATTGAAAGTAAAAAAGCAAGCAGTATAGTGTACATGTAATGTACATACTGGTTTGACTTTATACTTTGTGCCCTGTGGCACATTAAATTTGTGATCAGATCTTTCCTAAACAGAAAGACCTCATATTTGGTTGATATCATATACATGCACTTTAAAGGTCATATGGCCGTACGCAGCATTTTTTCCAGTTTTAGTGAAGGAAGATCTCAGGTGCTTCTTTGTGCATTATACAGGCATGAGCAGTCACCTGAGTAGAACCACTGACCTGTAAGCAAGCTGGATAACCTTGTCACACCAAAGAATCTAAAGTTCCCAGTGGGATTCTTACCCACAGAGGTGAGAGGTAAGTGGTACAATGTCACCAACCTTAACCTGTTAGTTATGGCAGCCCCTGTGAACAAATTAATAAAAGATCACAAGATTACCTTATATTGTCCTCCTTGTCAAAATCAAAACCACCGCCTCCAAAAAACATCATTGACATCAAATCACTTGACTGCAAACAAAGAAAAAATTATAATAAAATACATAATTTTTCTATTTACTTCTTGCCTTTTAGTGTTTTTTCATTGATCTTTGCTGCGTATCGACATGACCTCATCAAATCACAACATCGTGTTCATGTTTAAAAAATAATTCTGTAAAAGTTCAAATTCTGTAACATTTTTTTTACATGATAAGTGCAGATCACATTCTACTCACAACGGAAGGTATTTCTGACAATATTTTCAATAAGATATTTCAGCCACTGTGAGTATAACATGTCTGACAGTTTGCTAGTCTCATTGGCTACAGCACTCTTGGTAATTGTAACAAGAGGGCCATGATGGCCCTAGATCGCTCACCTGACTTATCAAACTCATCCAAACAATTACCTAGACAAGCATTCTGACCAAGTCTCATGACAGGTGAGTCAAAAATGTGACCACTACAGTGTTAACAAGGATTATCCATATTTGAGCAGTGCGACCTAGTTTTTTACCCAGGTGACACATATTCAAACTTGACCTAGAAATCATAAAAACAAACTTTAAGACCAATTTCCAGGATACTTGGATCAAAACAGTAGCAACTAGAGTGTTAACAAGATTTTTCTATTTTTAGCTCCGGTGACCTAGTTCCACATGCGATTTCGAACTCATCCAAGCAATTACCTAGACAAGCATCCTGACAAAGTTTGATGAAAATTGAGTCGAAAATGTGACCACTAGAATGTTAACAAGGTTTTTCAATATTTGGGCGATGTGACCTAGTTTTTCATCCAAGATGACCCATGTTCGAACTTGACTTAGAAATCATCAAAACAAACTTTCAGACCAATTAACAGAATATTTGGATCACAACAGTAGCCACTAGAGTATTAACAAGATTTTTCTATTTTTAGCTCCGGTGACCTTCTTTTTCATCCGAGATGACCCATGTTCAATTTATTCCCAGCAATGACCTAGACAAGTTTCCTGACCAAGTTTGATGACAATTTAGTCAAAATTGTGACCACTAGAGTGTTGACAAGGTTTTTCTATTTTTAGCTCCTGTGACCTAGTTTTTCATCCGAGATGACCCATGTTCGAACTCATATGAGTTATCATCAAGACAAGCATCTTGATCAAGTGTGATGATGATTGATGCTAAAATGTGACCACTAGAGTGTTAACAAGGTTTTTCTATTTTTAACTCCGGTGACCTACTTTTTCATCTGAGATGACCCATGTTCGAACTCATCCGAGCTATCACCTAGACAAGCATCTTGATAAAAGTTTGATGATGATTGAGGCAAAATTGTGACCGCTAGAGTTTTAACATGGTTTTTCTATTTTTAGCTCCGGTGAACTACTTTTTCATCCGGGATGACCCATGTTCAAACTCATCCACGCTATCACCTAGACAAGCATCTTGACCAAGTTTGATGATGATTGATGCAAAAATGTGACCGCTAGAGTGTTAACAAGGTTTTTCTATTTTTAGCTCCAGTGACCTACTTTTTCATCCGAGATGACCCATGTTCAAATTCATCCCAGCTATCACCTAGACAAACATCCTGACCAAGTTTGATGATGATTGAGGCAAAAATGTGACCTCTAGAGTGTTAACAAGGTTTTTCTATTTTTAGCTCTTGTGACCTAGTTTCTTATCGGAGATGACCCATGTTCGAACTCCTCCGAGCTATCAACTAGATAAGCATCCTGACCAAGTGTGATGATGATTGAGGCAAAAATGCGACCGCTAGAGTGTTAACAACTAAATGTGAACGGACGACGGCCCACGGACAATCGTCGATCCTAAAAGCTCACCCTGAGCATGCTCAGATGAGCTAAAAAGTTGTATATGCAAGAACTCCCGACGGGTATGTGTTAATACAACTAATTATGCAATAACGTAAATCTAACCAAGACTAAATACATTTTTGGTTTTCTTATAAATAAGTCTATTAAAGATATAATGTCACTACAATACATAAGTCTTTATTGCATTGATACAACGTGCCAAATAATAAAAATCATTTTAGATGTATCCATTCCTTTAGTTGAAAACTTTTAATTCAAATATTAAATTGCCAAAACATACACATTAGTATTTATTGACATACTCACCCCTGCAGAGGTATTTTCAAGATTTATGTACAAACGTGGTGTTGTTTCTTTTGTTCTGAAAATATCATATATTTGTATTTCTTGATTAAACTGTCTCTTGTATGATATAAATACTTGATAGGAAACTTGTTAGTTTTTAAAGGTTCAAATCATCACCACAGTGCAATAATGGGTTTACTCCTATTAAATTAGATAAGGAGTTAACCATTTACTGCACTAAGGTTACAATATGTTAATTTTTTTATGTTTTTGTATTTTCTTTTGTTATTACCTTTAATTTTAAGATTTTGTTGCCTTTTTTTGCTTGGTTACTTTATTTTGACCTGGTTGGGAAATATTTAATTTGTGTTTGTTAACCATTTTACACAATGATTGCTGTAAAAATAAAATTAGCTAGCTTTCAGTCTGTTTGTCCTTTTGTTCCAATGCTTAATTAGACATTTCTATTTTGTATTTCATATATATGTGACTAAGCTCTGATTAAATCTTAAAGTGTCATTATGCTCATATTTTTGTTGTCTAGTTGACTGTTATAATTATGATTGACAAACAGTTGATATTGGAAAATGTTCAGGATAGAATTTTAATCTGCCTAAAATAACAGAAGACTGCCCTATTCTTTTTATAAATTGAACATAAGATGCAAATTTCGATGGATATTTACAGAATGTCCTTCATTCATAGAAAGTTAATTAAAAAATTGAAGGAAATTGTGGTAAATTGTAAAACTATTTTTAATTCACCCTTTGATGGACAAAATGCGACTTTAATATATTATTTTATTTTGTGTTTATCTCCGTATGAAAACAATGTACCATGTTTTAACAAACTTATAAAGAATACTGGTGTCCTACCTTGATGTAAGTGAGGCAAATGGTTGTACAACCAATGAAGTTCCCATAACTATCAGACAATCACAACTGCCTAAATCCTACAAATAATACATCTAAATAAGTGAAATTCAATAGTGAAAAAACAACAAATTCAAAACGTTCTCAAATTTTAGAATTTCGTTTTTTGTTGTTCGTTTTTTTTTTTACTTCTCAATGATGCTGTCTAAACTTAAATATAAAACCAGAAATTCTTGGCAATTTATCCGATTTTATTGCGATATCTCTGATGCTTGCCAATTATAAATATTTTGTTCAAAATTTGAAAAAGAGTAATTACAAAATCCTTATATAATGCTAAATGGCTTAATTTTTGCATATCAGACTGGTTTTTCCATTAGTTTTACCCAGGCCAGAAATGTCATCTGACAGTGCCAGATAGCCACATGCTATACAATGGTGTCATTTTTTATGCATTGTATTAATGAAGCACATTAAAAATGACGTCATTTTGGCATATTTAAAAATGAATCTGCTTGCTTTGAATAGCATCATTTCGCCATAATGAATGAAGTTGTGAAGTTGAATATTCATAAACTATTGTAAGAAAATAATTAATGAATGACATTAATTTCAATGGAAAATTGCTTCATAGAAATAAAGAATTTTTATTATGAGTAGGATATGCAACACAACAAGATGCATTTGTGAACAAGAGGGCCATGATGGCCCTGAGGTCGCTCACCTGTATATAGCCCCACCACACCCATAAGAAGATGTTTCATGCTAAACATCTAAGCTCTAGCTCATTGGGCTTTTTAAAAGAAGATTTTTTTTTAAAGTTTTTACTATACACATATAGTTAAAAACAATGACACCCCTGGGGCGGGGCCAGTTTTGACCCCAGGGCTTTTATTCGAACAAACTTTGTAGACACTTACTAGAAGATGTTTCATGCTTAATATCTAAACTCTAGCTATTTGGGTTTATTCAAAGAAGATTTTAAGTTTTTGCTATACACATATAAGGAAAATCAATGATCCCCGGGGCGGGGCCAATTTTGACCCCAGGTCTTTTATTTGAACAAACTTTGTAGACACTCACTAGAAGATGTTTCATGCTTAATATCTAAACTCTAGCTATTTGGGTTTTTTCAAAGAAGATTTTTTAAGTTTTTGCTATCCACATATAAGGAAAATCAATGACCCCCGGGGCGGGGCCAATTTTGACCCCAGGGCTTTTATTTGAACAAACTTGGTAGACACCTATTAGAACATGTTTCATGCTAAATATCTTAGCTCTAGCTCTTTGAGTTCTTTAAAAGAAGATTTTTTAAGTTTTTACTATATGCAAATTGGGAAAATCAAAGACCCCCTGGGGCGGGGCCAATTTTGACCCCAGGGCTTTTATTTGAACAAACTTGGTAGACACTCATTAGAACATGTTTCATGCTAAATATCTTAGCTCTAGCTCTTTGGGTTCTTTAAAAGAAGATTTTTTAAGTTTTTACTATATGCATATAGGGAAAATCAATGACCCCCTGGGGCGGGGCCAATTTTGACCCCAGGGCTTTTATTTGAACAAACTTGGTAGACACTCATTAGAACATGTTTCATGCTAAATATCTTAGCTCTAGCTCTTTGGGTTCTTTAAAAGAAGATTTTTTAAGTTTTTACTATATGCATATAGGGAAAATCAATGACCCCCTGGGGCGGGGCCAATTTTGACCCCAGGGCTTTTATTTTAACAAACTTGGTAGACACTCACTAGAAGATGTTTCATGCCAAATATCTAAGCTCTAGCTCTTAGGGTTTTTTTAAAAGAAGATATTTAAAGTTTTTTCTTTCGGTTGCCATGGCAACCAGAGTTCTGCATGGAATTAAATTCTTTGAACAAATTTTAAAGGTGACCACCAAAGGAACATTCCTGTGAAGTTTGGATGAAATTGGCCTAGTGGTTTATGAGGAGATGTCATTTAAAGTAAAAGTTTACGGACGCCGGACGGACGCCGGACGAAAAGCGATCACAAAAGCTCACCCTGTCACTTTGTGACAGGTGAGCTAAAAATGCTATGCCATCGCATTAATACAACACTAAATATATAGATTTTTTTGTTTCTATATAAGTGAAAATTGCCATAATGCATAGATCCCTGACCTTAGCCTTGTACCTTCATATGTACAGAGCAAAAATCAATGACCCCCGGGGCGGGGCAAATTTTGACACCAGGGCTATAATTTGAACAATCTTGGTAGAGGTTCACAACGCAAAAACTCAAGCCAAATATCAGTCTGACCTCTGGCCTTTGTCAATTTAGAGAAGATTTTTCATTTTTTACTATATACATAATTATAAGGAAAACTATCACCTCTTGGGCAGGGCAATTTTGACACTAGGGGCAAATTTGAATAACTTTGGTTGAGTACCTATTGATGATATCTTCTTACAAATATCAAAGCTCTAACCCTTGTGCATTCAGACAAGAATATTTTCTAACTTTTTACTATATGAATATAGTGAAAATAAATGACCCTGGGCGGGGCCAATTTTGGCCCAAGGGCTATAATTTGAACAATCTTGGTAGAGGTTCACTACACAATGTTTCATGCAAAATATCTTACCTCTAGCATTTGTCAATTTCGAGAAGATGCTTTTACAGTTTTTACTTTATACAAATAAGGAAAACCTATGACCCCCGGAGCAGGGCTAATTTTAACACCAGAGGCCCCTTCACTCATGAATTAATCCTGGCAAGTTTGGTTGAAATTGGACAAGTGGTTTTTCACGAAAAGATTTTTTCAGTTTTCAGTTTTTAAGCTATATAACACACAAACATACATACATACAAACACACACACAGGTAAATCACTATAGGCCACCCCATCACAGATGCTGCGGAGACATAAAAATTCTGACATATGTTTGTGGTTCAGACTCCTTGGGAAGCCTTGCTCCTGCCAAATGGATGGTTCCCCATGGGATGGATATTCTGATCCAAATCGCAACATATGACAGATATTATTGATTATACACAAAAATAGCAGCATATTTGTTCTAGAAAATTTTATTCTGTTTAAGTACAGTATTTGTTTGTGTTAAATAATGTTAAAACTCTTCCAATAATTGATAACAACATAATTTACTGTTTTTAGATTTTATCATTCACCCTCCCCTCTTCTTTTTTGCCTTTAAATCCCCAAAACTAGTTTTAACAGTAATTTGTTGATGAAAAACATTTTTTTTTCTCCAAAATTAAACTTCAAACTTAAGTTAAAAGGCTTTGGTAATTTCTAGATGTAAAACAAAAACAAAACTCACTGAAACATTTTGTGCAAACTTCTGTGGTAAACTCTCTCCAAAAAATACAATGTCTGAAAAATAATTTGTCTTCACATTTACTCTTTAAATGGTATTTGCCACCTGTATACATCCTAACCAGTCTGCATAAAAAGGACATTCACAAAAAGGACAATAATGTCACCAAGCTGCAGGCCAATATTATAAACCAAGGTCAAATAACACAGCCAATATGAAATCATTCATCAAAAAGACATTATGCATCGTTTTTTCATGGTCAAGTTTAACTGATTTGACTATTTCAAAAGATAGACTTTTGTAATGGTGATTGACTAACAGTTGATATTGGAAAATGTATAGGATAAAATATAAGTCGGTCTTAAATATAAACAGAAAGCCCCAAACTTTTTTTTATAAAAAGAACATTACAGGTAGATTATGATGGACATTTAAAGAAATTTCCTTGGGCCATGTGAGTTACTTTTCGTTCATGTGAAGCAAATATAAATATATAATTAAACTAGAAATGTGTCCATAGGACACGGATGCCCCCACACACCACTGTTCTGTCAATCTTATGACTCTAGGTCAAATATTTTTTGGACTACATGTGCCACAGGTTGAAAACTTAAAATCAACAAAGGGCCATAATTCTATTAAATTTTGTCACAGCAAAAATTCCTTCCTTTACTGCAATCTACACATTAAGGTTGTTCATCTCTGGAAGTTTAAGAAAAATCTGCCATCTGGTTGAAGAGGTCACAGTTGCGTTCACAAAATTTCTACATAGTATATAGTGAAAAAATCAACAAAGGGCCATAATTCTATTAAATTTGGTCGCAGCAAAAATTCCTTCCTTTACTACCATCTACACATTAAGGTTGTTCTTCCCTATAAGTTTAAGCAAAATCTGCCATCCGGTTTTAGAGAAGTTGCGTTCACAATATTTCTACATAGTATATAGTGAAAAAAATCAACAAAGGGCCATAATTCTGTTAAATTTGGTCGCAGCAAAAATTCCTTCCTTTACTACCATCTACACATTAAGGTTGTTCATCCCTGTAAGTTTAAGTAAAATCTGCCATCCGGTTTAAGAGGAGTTGCGTTCACAAGATTTCGGGACGTACGGACTGACAGATGGACACTCGGACTGACGGACGGACAGACGGACGGACAAGTGCAACGCTATAAGCTCCCACTTTTGTTTATGCATTTTCAAACTAAATCTCTTTAGTTTTATATGTGATAAGATGGTTTAAGCACTTTTTTGTGTGCATTAACATCAGCAGAAGCATGAGAACTTATTATGTTTAAGGCCCAAGCCCTCAGGGCAAAGAATTTATTATGTCTGAGGATTTCTGCAGATGTTAAAGCTACTTTCCCACACAAAACAGGTCTAAAACATCAGCATATTTTTACAGTTTTACAATTTCCACAAGGTAACTGTGACCTAACGGTTGTTATGTTTCACTTGACAAAGATATAAACATCCCTATTATCACTCCTATTAACATGTAGCGAGTAGGACAGCTTGACACAATTAGAACCGGATTACCAAGATGTGTCCTTCCTTTTTGTCAATTTTTATTGAAATATTTTTTTATGATATATTGTGCAGCAGTCGATTGCAGGATGAAAGAAAGTTAATATTTGCAAAATAAAACATTGCAAAAGTTTAAAATTACAGCATGATAAACTTTGCAATCTTTACTCAAATGTATTAATTATCTAGTTCCATATAAATGTACGCGCTTGTGGTGAAATTTTATCTTTTGATGACATTTTGTTTCAAAAACGCCAAATGTACAATGTGTGGGATAGTACCTTTAACGCACGAATAAAGGTGCATTAGCCCTATTCTTGGACAAGATTTCATCTTATTCAAAAATAACACTTAAATGTTTTACATGTATATTTCTGCCAAAGGCTGTGATGCTTTGACTTGCCTTTTAAAAATTATTACCATTTTTGTGTCGCCTCTACGGAGTAGTGGCGACATATAGGGATCACTTCTCCCTCGTCTGTCCGTCTGTCTGTCCGTCCGTCCGTCACAAAACTTGTCCGGACTACCCCTCATAAACTACTGGTGCAATTTCATCCAAACTTTACAGGAATGATCAGTATCAAGTCTAGTTGTGCATATTGTCAGCATTTTCCGGTTCAATCATTTTTGTCAGAGTTATGGCCCTTTAATAATTTTTAATTTTAAAGTTTGTCCGGACTACTTCTCTTATACCACTAATGCAATTTCAATGAAACTTTACAGGATTGATCTGTAGCTCAAGTCCTTGTGCATATTGCAAGGGTTTTCCGGTTGAATGATTTTTGGCAGAGTTATGGCCCTTTGATTAAAAGGTGTTTTTTTCTGTGTGTTGCCAGATACACAATAGTTTGTCCGGACTACTCCCATAAACTACTGGTGCAATTTCATCCAAACTTTACAGGAATGATCAGTACCAAGTCTAGTTGTGCATATTGTCAGCATTTTCCGGTTCAATGATTTTTGTCAGAGTTATGGCCCTTTAATAATTTTTATTTTTAAAGTTTGTCCAGACTAGTGCTCTTATACCACTTATGCAATTTCAATGAAACTTTACAGGATTGATCTGTAGCTCAACTCCTTGCGCATATTGCACGGGTTTTCCGGTTGAATGATTTTTGGCTGAGTTATGGCCCTTTGATAAAAAGGTGTTTTTTTCTGTGTGTTGCCAGATACGCAAAAGCTTGTCCGGACTACTCCTCATAAGCTACTGGTGCAATTTTATCCAAACTTTACATGATTGATCAGTACCAAGTCTAGTTGTGCGCTGTCCGTCTGTCAGTCCGTCTGTCACAAAATTTGTCCCAACATGAAATTGGCCATTATGAGGCGACACATGTGATTACTGATCGCTCTTGTTTATGAAATTACAATGAAAAATGAAAGAAGAGATATCCAATATGGAAACATCTGTTGTTATAAGAGTCAGATAAATAAAATAGGTTAAAAAGTACATAAAAGTAAAACTGAAAATAATACAAGTGGGAACTATTTTTAAACAGAATACATATGCAATACCTGGTTTAACAACACCATCACAGTCCTCTTTTATACACTTTGGCACAACTGTCTCTGTCGATTTACTAAATATCTGTTCTGAAAATGATACTTCTACCATACAATAATACATATTTAAAGAATATTAGGTCACAAATCAACATTTATTATTCACCATGGAATTTATATTAATATTTACATCAATGGTTAACATAAAATTCTTGTCCATACAATTTACCTGCAATACAGAATCTAAATCTTGTTTGAAAATATATATATTTTTTTGGATTGGGTTTTACGTCATAATGACACATAATATGTCATAAAGCAACGTTCAAGCTTTGCTGGAATAGGAAGACCTCAGGTGCCCATCTGTGCATCATTTCAGGCATGAGCGGGCACCAGAGTATAACCACATACATTTCGTAAGATAGCTGGATAGCCTCTTCACATGAAAGAGTGCAGAGTCCTTGTCCGGATTTGGACCCACTGCGGTGAGGGGCAAGTGGTTTGAATCAGCAACATTAAACCACTGGGTCACAGATGCCCAATGGTGTACTTGAACAAGACATATTTTGTTTAACAAGAACATAAAAGAACTGGCTCTCTACAGTAGAAGTATCCAAAATGTATTTCAAGATGCTATATAAACAAAAATGAACTTAAAGAATCTGTAAAGACGGAGAGATAAAGATGTGCAAGAAAGCCTTAACCTGAAAAAGGACCAACAATTTGAAAACAATATGACATTACAATCAATTTATGCTTTATTTACCAACAAATTTATATATTATAGAATGGATCTTTTTTTTCAGAAGAAAACTCTCAAGGAGTACTGGTCAAGAGGTTTAAGTTTCTGATATACCTTTCATCCATTCTAATGAATATTCATCGCCACACTCGAGACAATGTCCGGTGTTAAAGGAACCATGTGCCTCTACATTCTTATCATTACTTAGTCCAGCTACTCGCTCTAGTGTATCAATATTCTGAATTATATAAAGTTCTACCTTTAATTTACCTGCGTTAATATTTTTTAAAGGGGAAATCTGTCAAAAGCAATCAAAGCAAACTCAAAGGGTATAAATCTATATCTTAAGAATATCCTTAAAATTTATCAACAGTAAAATTACATTGGTTCCATTAGTATATGGTTCCTGAAAATGTTGTAACATAGAATGTCTCTGTTATTTAAAACACATGAATAATGTACGTAAACAGAATTAAAACGTTCCAGAAAAAACTATTTTTTTGGTATTTTAAGTAGGATTTGATCCGTTCAGCAATGACTTTGTGTATGAGCCACTCGCTATAAGGCAATTTATTGCCTTTTTTATTTCATACAAACATTTTGTAAGTATTCTTTTTTAAAATCCAAACAATAATTTTTGCATTAGATATAAAGCTCTTGACACTTTAATACATGTACATTAAAAAAACACCAATTCAGAAGTTAATCAGTTTGTTTAAAGTACAATGTAGATTATGGAAAATGCAGTATCTCTTAGGTTTCCCAGCAGGGGTTAAGCATTATTCTATCCTTAAAATTATAAGATATGCAATTCTATCAATAATATTCAAAATATTGGAATTCCACCTTCAACATTATTTTTATTGGAATTCTATCTTATAATTATATCAAGAAAATGCAAAGTATGATCTGATAAGAGATGACACAAAGTGGGACAAAGACATGATTCAGACACTTTTGTCATTATTAGCTTTTATCTTTAATGTAACATGAAAAAAGGTTAAGCTAAGTTTATTATTGGATATATGAAAAATATATTGGATACTTCAGTGTCCAATATAGGAATATTTTGGATAGTCGTACCATACATTTAAATGTAAATAGTTCTTAAAGAATAAAGAAACATGATGCAAATCTACCTGTGTAAAATGTCTCATTAGCTTTTTCTTCTTCTCTAGAAGCTTGATAAAGTAATGACAAGGTGTTGGCTGAAATTAAAATAATATTGTTTCATACATTTGCAGATAAATATTAACAAGAGAACAAAATTATACATAATACAGGTCTTTAAGATGTTTATAAGGTAATTAAAATTATTAAATAAGTTATGACTTATAAGCAAACATATATAATTATGCAGGTTTACCTTGTATGATTCTGGAAACAGGTCCTTGCACAATGTAAAAAATGGTTCTGGATTTTCCTGCAATAAAAGTGTTATTTCAAGTGTTATTTTCATGGTTTTTAAATGGAATTACCATGATTTGTCTTCTCTTATTAATTTAAACAATTTGATTTTAGCTTTTTACTAACATATTTATAATGAAACTGAAATATGCAAATGCACCAAAAACCCTGCCGTGGCTGGGATTTGAAGTTATGACCACCTGCTTATAAAGCAAAGAAACAAGGCTCTTACTGAGGGAAAGAATTGATTCCCTGACACAGTTGTCAGAGGTTAAACCTATAGTTATGAAGGTAGGTAAACACTCAACCGTAACAAGCTTGAATTTTACTAATATTTAGAAGTTATTTGAACCATTTTCCAGTCCACTGCCTGGTTTAACCAGTACTAGTGACACATGAGGTAAAATGATTGTGACCCCCAGCAGAGCTCGATCCTGCAATACCTTAATTGACAGGTGGTCACTTTAACCATCAGGCCACCACACCTAAATATTATTCATGTGTAAAGAAAATCAAGTACTTTTAACCATACTTGCTTAAAATTATCAAAAGAGAAAACAAAATAAGAACTACTTTTTACATAGACTTTGTACCTAAAACATAATTGAAATACATACACTATACAAGAAGTTTATATCAATCTGTTAAAACAAATCATATATCAATCTATTTGAAAAATAAACATCGCAATCATTCATAACGGGAAAATATGGATAATAATAGTTCCTCTCTATTTTTTTTACTTTGGACCCCAAAGTTGAATTTATTTATTTTTCAAAAATATGGATCATAATTTATAGATTAATCAAAATGTTCTTACCAAAATTTTCATTCACCTTGAAAGTTAGGATTCAAATAACTAAATTTAAAATATAATTTCTTGCATCTGTCATATGAAAATCTATTGTATTTTTAACCTTTTTGAATTATAATTATGTTAAATATCGCAATGTCATAGACGAACTAAGTTTAACCTTTTTAGAACTTACATGGAATACACCATTTATCAAACACAGACCAAGATAAATCTTTGAAAACTGACATGGGAAACACATTTTATCAAACACAGACCATGTTAAATCTTTGAAAACTTACATGGAAAACACCTTTTATTTACACAGACCAAGTTTAACCTTAAATAACTTACATGGGAAACACAATATATCAAACACAGACCAAGTTTAATGTTGTAGAACTTACATGGAAAAAACCTATATCAAAGATGGCCTGAGGATGTGGTAGATTATATTTCTGCAGGTTGTTATACAATCCACTACCTGGTGATCTAAAGTCAGGAATTCCAGCAGCTGTAAGAAAAATGTAGAATAGTATTTACATCTACTTGCCTACAAGATAGATTTCATATTAAAGAGTATGTTAATTTTTCAATTGAAACAATAAAATTCTTACATCAATCCTTTGCTTAAAAAAAACAAACTCCCAAAACATTTATACCTCATTTCATATGATATAACTTTCTTCTGAACATCATTTTGCTATTATCAAATTAAATATAAACAAGAGAGTCATGATGGCCCTAAATGGCAAATTGCCGAGTATAACTGGAAACTATTTTATATGGAACTGAAACAATATGAATTTTTTTCTTACAGTTTCACAAAAAGATATTTCTTGTCAAGTTTCATATCTGCTAATTTGTTAACAGAAAGATGTCAATTAAGAATTTACTGATACACAAAAATCACTTTGATGTTTTAAGAACCAACTGTGTTATGGCAATATTTTGTGACATAAACAAAAACTGTTTCCAATCAAGGTCAAATTAGAATATAGAACACCTTATGTTACAAAAAAAACTTTGATCCTGACTGAACTAACATGAGTAAGTTAAAGCTAAAACAATTTTTAAAGGTGAATACTGGACTGACATACATGTTGATATTCCTGCACCAGCCATGGTAACAATATTTTTGCACTTGTCACTTTTAATATATCTAGCAATGCCTTCAAAACTGACTTCATCTAGGACACTCTCTGGCTTCGGTTCATCACTGATGTTCATAGATTTCTTCATACATTCTGTCAGCCATTCAGCTTTTAAATAAAAGTGCATGTTTAATTATCTATTAGTACACTCCAAACATTTCAAAGAAGCCTTAGCGAACATTTCAATCAAGTGAAAATCGAAAATTTCAAAGAATCCAGTGAAAATTGAAAGTATCTAGTGAAAACTAAAAATTTCAGAATGTCAAGTAAATATTAAAAATTTCACTGAATCCAGAGCAAACTGAAAATTTCAAAGTATCCAGAGATAAAGTTTAGAGTATCCTGTAAGAAGTTCAGAGTATATAGTGAAAATTTAATGTTCAAAATTTTCAAGTTAAAATTTCAGAGTAGTCATCAGTAAAGCACTTACACTAAAGCATTTTTATCTATTATGATTTGGCAAAAGTAGTCATCAGTAAATTCTGCAGCAGCTTACAATTTCACCAACTACTGGACTAATCTACATGCACATACATGTTTATTAATTTCAAAAATTAAAGTATAAAATGTCTTAGATGTACAATTTTCCGTTATCTATACATCTGCCCAATCCATTTTTACTTTAAACATGTGATCATATATATATGGTAACAGTCATTATTAAAATATTTATTCTCAGCATATTAATCTGCCTCAAAGAATCACATATTATTAAAATCACCAATTCTTCAAACCCAGAGTAAATAGCAAACTGAGCATGTTTTTTCTGATGTTTTGTTTTCTGTTGTTGTCGTCTTTTTCTGGATACTACCAACATTATATATTTGATTGGACAAGGAAAATGTCATACACACTAAATTGTCCAATGTAGGATTGATTGGATACTACAGTGTCCAATACAGGAAATATATTGGACTGTCACCAAACATATTTCAAAAGATATCATAATAAGTAAATACTTGTTTGAATAATTCATGTAAATGAATAAAAGAGTCTGATCAATTGTAATATACACATTAGTGCCATATTACCTCACCTATCTGACCATTAGTAATATCAATTCACTTCAAATGTATTTATACCATACATTCTTCAATAAATGCCCCTTACTATTTTTTTTACTTACAAAGATGATAGTCAGGTTTATTATATATTCACGGCAATAAGTACAAAATTTACCACTGCTGGTGCTTTATATATATGATCCAGCCAGAAACTAATACAAAACAGTAAACATAAATTTTTTTCAATTTGATGATATTACAACTTTTACAAATGCTAAACTTTTGCCCCCGAGGGAGCTTTTAGAGAAAATACTGTCCATATGAAATAAATCAGTATGTATATATTACCTGTGGATTGGTATGATGTTGTCTGTTCCAGAAGACTTGGCTTTTTTTCACTTTTGTCTTCTGCAGCTCCAGTCCCAGATGCTGCATCTGCTCCAACTTCATCCTTGCCCTTGACACCATCTTTATCACTGGCTGTAAAATATATAAATAATATGCTCTTGTTTATTTTGATGTGAAGGAACTATCCAGCTAGCTTACAAAATAAATATTCTACCTATGTGGTTGTTAATACATGTACTTGAACCTCTAAACTATTCGACTAGCTTGCAAATACCTACCTGGATGGCTTTTAAAAGCTACTATCCCACATTTTATAGTTAGGGCATTTTTGAAATAAAATTTCATCATTGGCACGTAGGACTGTCATTGACTATGGGAACATTGATATATTATCAATATTTGTCATCCGATACAATATCGATACACACTTTCAAATATTGATACAAGCTAAAATTAATTTATTTCTGTTGGTGAATATACCTCTCTATTCTGCCTAATAAGAGAAGTCACTTTTTCCAGTTTTCTTGGCTAACTTGAACTTTAAACTCTGTTTTCAAATGTCAGTGACAAAATAACAGAAAAAAAAACAACTTTGTTGTACAGTGTAATGTCTAATAGAACATGCATAACACCATGATCCCAATTTATAACACATATTTAATTGTTTTTCATTGTATCTACTGTCAAAGTCGATATATAGATATATCATCGATATTTGTTTCTCGATATATCAATACAAAATTTTCCATCAATGACAGCCCTATTGGCTCATGCATTTATATGGAACTAGAAGTGATTAATAGTCATGTTTTGTCTATATTAAGTACAAACATAAAAGTAAAGTTTTTGCTATGTTAATGATGCTGTATTATTTAAATTGTTGCAATGTTTTATTTTGTAAATATTGACTGAAATTATACACACACTGGTTACAAGTAGTATCCATTGGTTGCAGGTAGAACAGATGTGTACTTGGTAAGTATTTTATTCTGCAATCGATTGCTGCACAACATTTCATAGAAAATTATGTCTATAAAAAGAGACAACAGAAGAAAAACATATATCGGTAATCTAGTTTACCTACCGGCTCCTTTGTTAAAAGCGGTCTTGTAAATCACTTACCGACCGGTTAACAGGTCTGCAAATAGATACCGACCGGTTATTGTTCTATTGTTCTCTATACAATAGAAAATATGTGAAGTCGAGAAACTCGTGCATTACAGTACACAATATTCACCGTAAAATAACGCTGAATTGTGTGTGTGTGTGTGGGGGGGGGGGGATAATGACCACTTTGAATAGGAACAAGAGCCACCACCGGGCGGAGGCAACGCTCGACTTTTTACTTTTTCTAAACGCAAACATAGAAAGGTTTGAACATATATTGATGTTTCCTTTTTATAAATTTAGTTGGTCTGTCTTGTCACATTAGTTTTGTTTATATATTTTGTATATATATGAATAGAAACATTAAGCATATTTCTAAAAATAGCAACAGTACGCAATTTCTAAAAATAGCAACAATGACACAATTTCTAAAAATAGCAACAATGACGCAATTTCTAAAAATAGAAAAAATGACGCAATTTCTAAAAATAGAAAAAAATGACGCAATTTCTAAAAATAGAAACAATGACGCAATTTCTAAAAATAGAAAAAAAAAATGACGCAATTTCTAAAAATAGAAACAATGACGCAATTTCTAAAAATAGAAAAAAATGACGCAATTACTAAAAATAGCAACAATGACGCAATTTCTAAAAATAGAAAAAAATGACGCAATTTCTAAAAATAGAAAAAAATGACGCATTTACTAAAAATAGCAACAATGACGCAATTTCTAAAAATAGAAAAAATGACGCAATTTCTAAAAATAGAACAAAAATGACGCAATTTCTAAAAATAGCAACAATGACACAATTTCTAAAAATAGAAAAAATGACGCAATTTCTAAAAATAGGAAAAAATGACGCAATTTCTAAAAATAGCAACAATGACACAATTTCTAAAAATAGAAAAAATGACGCAATTTCTAAAAATAGGAAAAAATGACGCAAATTCTAAAAATAGCAACAATGACGCAATTTCTAAAAATAGAAAAACATGACGCAATTTCTAAAAATAGAAAAAATGACGCAAATTCTAAAAATAGCAACAATGACGCAATTTCTAAAAATAGAAAAACATGACGCAATTTCTAAAAATAGAAAAAAAATGAAGCAATTTCTAAAAATAGAAAAAAATGACGCAATTTCTAAAAATAGAAACAATGACGCAATTTCTAAAAATAGAAACAATGACGCAATTTCTAAAAATAGAACAAAAATGACGAAATTTCTAAAAATAGAAAAAAATGACGCAATTTCTAAAAATAGCAACAATGACGCAATTTCTAAAAATAGAAAAAAAATGACGCAAATTCTAAAAAAAGCAACAATGACGCAATTTCTAAAAATAGAAAAAATGACGCAATTTCTAAAAATAGAAAAACATGACGCAATTATATACATGTATATATATATGTATATATATATATATATATCGTCACCTTAGTGCAAAAACTCAATAACTGCATATAGATAAAGAAGCAGATATTGAGTTCTTGCACTAAGGTGACGATATATATATATATATTTGATATATATATATATATATATTTGATATATATATATATATATCTATATATATATATATATATATATATATATATATATATACATGCATATATATATATATACATGCATATATATATATATATATACCTGCATATATGTATATATATACACACACACATTTATATATATATTTATATATAATACATATACTATACATACACACACACCGATAAATGCACAATCTGAGAAAATTCAGTAATATAACCTTCAAGGTCAAGGTCATTAAAGAGCCCAAGCGAATTTGGGTTTGATAAACAACAAGGTCTGGTCCTTAAGAATGTTCTGTTATAATATGAAGTTTATCCCTTCAAAAATAGCAAAGTTACAGTCAGTTACTGCCAAAACAATGAAAATTTCAATAATTTGACCTTCAAAGGCAATGTCATTAATGAGTGAAGGTCAAGGTCTTTCGGTATATTTTTAACAGTTATCTTTGAAGATTATTATGTTCAAGTTTGAAGACAATCCATTCAAAAATAACAAAGTTACAGCCAATAATAGCCAAAAAAATGAAAATTTCAATAATTTGACCTTCAAAGTCAAGGTCATTGATGAGTGAATGTCAAGGTCTGACTGGTTATTTTTAAGGGATATCCTTGAAGATTATTATGTTCAAGTTTGAAGACAATCCATTCAAAAATAACAAAGTAACAGCCAATAACAGCATGAACAAGCAAAAATTGGACTTTTAACCTTGAAGGTCAAGGTCATTTATGGATGAAGGTCAAGGTTAGTGTGGTCTACTGAAAGGTCTTGTCCCAAGGGTTGTTGTGGCCAAGTATGAAGACAATACACCAAGAAATAAAAAAGTTATGATCCAGGTACAAGTTTTCGGACGGCAACGGCAACGGCAACGGAGACGGCAACGGCAACGGCAACGGCAACGCCGACCTGACTATAACAATACCTCTACTTTTTTTTTCAAAAAAAAAAAAGTCGAGCTAAAAAGGGTCAATATATATTTTAAAGATTAATCGAAATAAATTAGCGCATACAGCTGTAAGTACCCTCATAACTTATATTCCAGATTATTTGTGAGAAAAAAACGAACTGGCTACTGTTCTGGCGTTGAAGTTTTGTGTTTCGCCGATATTAATGAGTATAACAATGCACATTAAGCATTTCTTTAAAGTTTAAATTGCTTTTCGGTATACCTAACACATTTGCCGAACTATATAGCTTCATAAGATACTAGTTTTCGGTATTTATTTCCACAACTATGTCTGAATTTGCACAATCCTGCATTATTTTAACAATTCTGCATTATAGGATAAATACGACGATTATATTATTGGTGCATATCGAATCAAAGTCAACTTCTGCATCTTTCTTTCCCAAAATATTACTTTTAGTGAGAGTAGATAGTTCATCTTAAGTATAAGACCGTTTTTCTCATTTTTCCCCAGTTATTTTTAAATTACAATTTGGATTTTGTATACCAGTACCAAGAATACGACTTGCGCTTCCATTCTAGACTGCGTGCTTACATGCGGTCTTATAACGGATAATGCTAATTAAGAATACACGGAAAGAAAATTCTTCCAAACATGCATGGATGAAATTCTAAGAACATTTAAAATCAGCCATCATAAAAAACAACAACAACAAAACCCAACTTACATAACGGTGTAACTACATGTATTACTAATATTTATTCATGGAACCCCGTCTTTTACTTTCCTTTGAAAAAGTCGTATATTTTAATTATATAAGAAATAGCCTGATCATCTATTTACCATGAAATTTATTATAATTATATAAAGATAAAGTGTTCTGTTTTTGTTTTTATGATTAGAAAATATTTTTATCTTCCTCAGTATTTGTTTATATTATTAATATGTTATGTATTCATGTATCAAAATCATGATCTTACCTTTCCCTACTCGACAAGTTCTGTTTTCATTTTCTGTGACTCAACTCAACAAGTACATTACCTAATGAAACCCCACGAAAAACACGAGAATATTCAAGTACACCTGATTTGTGAATGAATGAATTACAAGAGCGTAGCGGATGGTACCTTTGCTTGGCTTTGGAATGTTTTCTTAAACATGATAAAGTACATAAGTAATATGTTTCTTGTGAGTAATATTAATAAATACTGAGCTAAAAACTGATGTATGGATAGAAAAACAAAAGAGCATGTAGGTAAGATAGTTACCGCACTCGGAATAGGTCTGCATAGTATTTACAGACCCGGTGGCCTTTTAAAAACCTCGATCGCTACGCTCTCTCGGTCTTCAAATCGCCACCCGGGTCTGTAAATACTATGCAGACCTATTCCTCGTACGGTAACTATTACTTAAAACCATAAGCTCTACCTGCCTGAAGCAATCTACTCTTAACTTGTTTAAGGGTGTGCTTTAAGTAATAGAAAGAGCACCGAAACACAAGGCTATCTGATTTGTACGAGGGGGCGTAGCCCCCGAGTATAAATCAGATTGCCGAGTGTTTTGG